TTCGGGGTCTCTGACCCTGGAGGGGCCATGGATACCTACCACAGAGTCGAATGCGTTGGTGAATGAAGTCGGGGCCTGAATGTAATCATGTTTCATTCCCGAAATGATGCTGAAGGCCGTGAACGAATCTTGCGAGCGACTCATGTCATGGAGAAGCTCGTTCATTATTGGATGCACGGGAAAGGGACCGGCCGCGATATCGGCTTCATTTCGTAACACAGTGTCCAGCATACCGGTTAGACGACCCGTTGCTTCTTCCACCATTCCGTATCCACCATCCGAGGGAGGCACAACGCTGTATCTAGGTAGGAGAACCACGGAGCTCAACTGAGTGAGTCAGGCGTTCAAATCATGAAAACAGATCGGATTCGTGGAAATGACTTACGACATGTTCAAAGAGGCCGTAATATTCGTGAGCATTGATCCCAGATTGCCTTCGAGTCGAATCGAGCCATCGGATTGCGGTCTCAATAGATAGAAAGGGCCGAACTGCAATTCAGAGCTCGGATGGCCTATTACCGCCTGCATATTGCGTCGGTGATGAAAAGATCACGGACCACCATCGATCAATCTGCTGAAAAATTTTCGAGAGTCTTCGCTCACTCACAGGAACTACACAGATCCTCAAATTGTAGCCGGTCCAGGTCTTCATTTCCAGGATGATTATTTCCCGAACAAACATTCACGGAGTGAGTCACTGACTAAAATGAGAGGCGAGAGACTTCATCCGCGGAACGGCTTGGCCCACTTCCCACACATCGTTATACATGGCCACTAATAGCATAGCTCATTGAGTTGATTAAACGGAATAGAATGGCTTAGAGATCCGTTCTCGATCTGCGGAGCCTCGCAGAACCGATCCGAAACGTGAGCTCCGGCTATTGTCGTACAAGTCCGCGGGGAAAAACATGCCGAAATGAACCATTTCGATTCATCAACATTCCGATTCATTCCGGTGAGATCCGAACAGTGATTTGTTTCAGAGACTATTCGAGTATGATGGATCGGTAATAATTGTGGAAAACCCGAATCCGAGTCGTTCACCTCTCACCCAGAAGAGAATCGCACTGTACCAGTCGTGGAATGAGAGGTGAGGGAAAATTGTTGCTGACAGAGAAAAACGCGGAATCCAGGAGAACCTAAGTCTTCCGCTCGTCCGTGGTCGCTGAGATGTCTTGAGAACATTTCTGCTTCCCGCAGACCGCGTGACGATTCGATGGGTCCGAGATGCCTCAAACCCTTGGAGGGTTCCGAAGATAGTGATCAGTTATCAACCTTCTTCACTCTGGAGATGATCTCCAGCAAACTTCTCGTCCCGGATTCAGGCCGTTGCCACAGCGCAATCGGGAGAGCGACTTCTTGGAACTCCCACCATCCGACAGGCCACTCCCTGAAGCCCTATTGATCTCCATATCCTTCTCGGCCTCCTCTCTCCTCTCGGCTCCAAGATTCGACGACCTCCGCCCGTACTCGGGTTGAATTAACGCTGAGAATGAGCGAAGTGAATGCTCCTGAAAATTCCGGTCGTAAATGAAAAATTGATGAAATCGTCGGACGCGATTCCCTCAATGGACGCTTCTGCTTTATTCGCAGTGCTCAACAGTGCCGACGTGGGGCGGCAGGCTAAGTGCTGCCTCGGGATCCGAAAGTGAAGTCTGCGAGCAGATTGACGAGCGATGCTCTATTGGGGATCAGTTTCATCAGAAGTTGTCACCGCTATTATGCGGAAAACAAAATCGCCCGCGATCCGTGACCACTTTTCGTAAGACACTGCTTGGTGCCTTGATGATCCTGCAACGTTTTACGAATGGTCACTTCTGGCGCGCGGGCCCGCGGCGTCGCTCTTTGCGTCACACTTAGGCGACTTTCCAACTTCCAGCGGGCTTAAATGCCTCTGACTCGTGACGCTTAATGTATGACTCATCCCGGGGCTGTATTTCTCAGGGAAATTCGTCAAGTATATGGCCGTGGATTGCGAGATCTGCCTCCCGCTCGCCGAACCGTGGAACGAGAATTACCGTATCCGTAAATCTAGACGACGTTTGATGAAAGTCTGACTTGCATGACACTATCAACGATCTCGCTCAAACAAAATTCAAAACACGACCGAATCCCAGATCCGAGGTTTGATTTTGACCTACAGCGAGTCCGGTCGGCACGGAGTGATATAGCTACGCGAAGCTCCATTGTAAATACATCGAGGACGAATTTCGGCCCAATGGACTATTGACGTGAGCCCACCTGCTGGGGCGTCGAGGAATTCTTCGAGGGGGAGTTCGATGCAGTGGCAAATTGACTCCGGTGTCGGCCTCGAGCATGGGAAGTTCAGGACCTCGAGACCCGTGTCACGTAGAGGTATCTCCTGCGGGACCAGAAATTTCCAGGGTCCCTCGGCACGGATACAATCTGAGGGTTTTCCCCCCACCGGATTCGCGACACTCCCTCCAATCCTGAGCAAGCACCTAAGTTCTTCATTCTCGACGCCGGCACACGGAGACTCTCGAAGACCTCCCGATCGTTGAGAAACCGCGAGATCTCGCGAATTGAATTGGTCATCAAGACGCGTGAGCCCGTCCCGCCTCTGAACGGAGTCTGCAAATCACTGGGTTAATTATTATTCACCTCCACGAATAATTAAAGCAAGAACCCGATGGACATCGCGAAGAAGCAGCGGCGTCACAACTGAGCAGGCTTCTCTCCCGAAATGACGAGAGCATCCTGAGATCAATTTTCATACAGTGCCCCCAGCATGTCGAGGAGCCGGAGCACACCGATTTCCTCTGGGTATCTTCTACTCCTGGCAAGCGATTCCCCCTTCGGATCCCATATGGGAAATTGGGAGAAACATGAGAATCAGATCAACGAATCCGAGCTCATTGCCGGTGTTGATGCCATGACAGATGTTCTAGGGACCACCCGTTTCCTCAAAGAACTGGTCATCATCCAAAAACCAACGCTGTTCATTGACAATCAGACGGACGTGAACCTGATGCTTGACAGAAATAAAAATACTGAGCACGGTATTCCAGGGAACGCCGATTTTCTTCTGAGAGATGCCCGGGCCGATCAAGATCCGTATCTCGTTCCCGATGACGGACAGTTTAGCATGTATCAGATTGAACCGCGAGCGGAATATGTGTTTTTTCTTCGCCATCGCGGGCACAGCTTTCGGTCCCAATCGGACTTGGAGAATTTCAAGGAATCTATGCTTCACAACCGGTCGTCTTAGTCTCTTTCACCGCGGAACAGAGAGGGTATTCAGTCTGACACTTTGTCGGTCGGTCGAACAACCTTCCACTCACTTAGTCAGTTTATCATTCAGCCCCCCGCTCGCGCAACCGCCCCCAGCGTCTACCGATCCAGTGACTTTCTCTCGGCCAGAGAACTCAAGTGCAACGGAAATGAACAGAGCGGTGAGTTCTGGTTACAGAGAAACTCCTTCTGGACTTTTCGCGGGCTACCTAGTTTTCGAAGCTAGACAGCATACTAGAGCTCGGGTCGGCTCTGACCTCTTGCGGAGACCTGGACTCTGGCCTATCGGATCTCGGTGAGCACAAAACCGAAGCTGTCCGGCCCGGCAGTGCCAACAGAGCTCACTCGGTGCTCTGATCAAGAGCAATAATTGTACCCAGGCGAATCACGGCCGGGTTCTGCAACTAAGTCCGGCAGCCGCGATCGCCCGCCGACCACCTTCCGCTTGAGTGGCGTCGCTCCACCAAGTGGAGTCACGGGGTCAGGGGAGGCACATTGCGGAAGCGGAGTTTCTCGAAGAGGAGAGTGAACTTGTTCCACAGACGAGGAGCTAACCGCGTTCCTCCTTTAGCCAGTGCGTCGGTAGATCGAGAGTCGAATGCCGTGGAGTAGAGTGAATCGATTCAATTTCAGGTGTTGATGATCCTTGTCGCCCTGAGCTTGACATGGTCAGCGGCGCTCGCTGGGAGACATGAGCGAAGTTTTCTGGCGCTCATCGGAGCTCAAGCCGCTTTCCCGCTGGCATTGCCGTTGATAGGGTCGATGTTTAGGGGACGACCAGCCAGAGATTTCTACGGTTTCGCCTATGCCGATAGCGATACCGAGAGGATACAATTTTTCTAACCTGGAACTAATCTCTAGTTATATATTCAATGACGTTCCTGGTAGGTAGTGGTTCTCTCTTGGTCGGGCAGCCGTAACTGTTCATTCCGTCTCGACTCGTGTTTCCTTTGTGCTCAATGTTGATTGACCGAGAAAGTGAGAATGATCGATAAATTGATAGTGAGCCATAACGGCAGGCCTTTTTTTTCACTCTTGCCTAATCATTGCCTCACGGATATCGTTGTTGGGACTGACGGCTTCGGATGTTCTTCGGGGAAAGAAATTTAGACAGTAAATAAGTTCGGGACTCCTTGACAATCAACTGTATTGTCACAATATTATGAAATTCCGTTGTCGAACCACGGTTATATTCCGCGAATTTTTTTCGGATGTCGATGTTCACCGCGGACTTTGGGACTCGACTTCCAGAACCCCGTGTCGAAGAGCACACCTGCGTTTCATCATGCTCCCACCAGGGATGCATTCACCCGACTGGGGCGCGTCCGAACCGCCACATCTAATCCATCATTACGAGCCTAAGCGAAAGTATGGTCCGGATTTCTTCTAGGAACTGATAGATAATTTCTCCGGGATGCTATCGAGTCGGTCCTCCGCAGATTTCCCTAATCGAAATGCGGTCACTATTTCGAGCGGACTTATCTCACTATGTGACTCCGGGGCGGGCTTCTCCTGACACCCCGATGGCGGGACTTCGACACCGGCGCGAGAACCCCAATCCTATGAAATGACTTTCACATTCCGGAATCACTCTTCGCACAAGCTAAAATTTGCGTTATCGCTCAGCTCGGCAGTTTACTCAAGGATAACGTGGGTAATCTTCCAGACTTCTTTCCCTTCACGTCGTAAAGCACGGGATCACCTATCCGCACTATTCAAATATTTCATTGTCCCGATCAGAGACCGAGGAACCGCCATAAATGTTGTTGTACGGCCCGGCTGCGTTAGGTTTCCTGTTCGCTGTGACGACTCCAGGATTCCTGCCCGATGAAGAGCTCGATCATTTGGTGGTCCTTTCTCGTCATGGGGAGCGGTACCCCTTGTCTCCGGTGCCAGAACTGGGAGATTTCTCGGTTAGTATGTCACCTCTAATGCTGTAGCGGTAGTGCGATGCTCGTTCGTTGTGCTGAGAAAGGCGGAACTCTAGAAACGAGCTCCGGAGGTTCCGCGATAATCTTCGAGTTCGAGAGATGCCAATGATAAGGTTCCAGCGTCGGCTTGATTTCAGTTAGGAGCTCTGACACCAAACGGCTTCACGGAGGAGAAGAACTTCGGGATTCAGCTCTCGGAATGGTACTCTGAGTTTTTCGAGAAGAAGCCGACGGCACACCTCGCCTCTGTGAACACGTCGCGCTGCATCGATACCGCGATCGCGATCATGGATGGACTCTCGATTGACGATTACTCGTTTGAACTGCTGGGAACGATCCGAGTTCTCCCGAATGATGTGGACAGTTTATTACCGCTGATCGAGCAGAGCAAGACACAGGTCCTGCCTCCGTGTCTTGACGCAGCTCTGGAGAATATTGAGCTCGGAACCTTCACGAACTTCCCCGAAAGCTCAGCCGACGTAATCCATGCAGTCCTGAAACTCCTGCTGGCGGATGCGGTCGACACCCTGATGCAATCGGGTTATACAGGGAAAGTACTCGGAGTCGATCTCGCCACATGTGTTGGAGCGGGGACGAAAGTTATGGGGGAAGATGCCTTTGCACGCCTGACAGATATCTGCCGACCTTCGCAGTGCGTCGCTATCATTTCGAAACTCATGGATGACCTTCGAGCATTAGCGAGTGAAAACAAGCCACCGAGGAAAAGCGTGAGCGTGTATGGATTGTCAGATGTGCACATCCTGGACCTACTACAGTCTCTCTTACCGCAGTTCAACCACACCAGACCCCAATTCGGTGGCTACATCCTCTTGGAGTTGCGAGGAGACGACGTGAGGATTTTGACGGGTCAACATGTATCCAGTCAGCCGAAAGAGCGGGCATCGCTGAATATACGAGAAGTCATACACTTGCTACAGAACAGGGTCGGTCCTACCGTCTAAGCAGGATACCGAATCCACCCTACCAGCGCAGTGCTGGAATGCTTACACGAAATTCCCATATTCCAAATAAATCCCCGGTGCTTGGAGTGGTTGGCCACCCTTGAATATTCGGAGGAGGGACAGGAATGTGACCCATTTACGGTAAACCTGAATATATATCCATCAGCTCTCGAGCATATTGATCCTGGACTTAGCGCCAAGCGACGTCTCTGGTCTTCTCAAATGATTGCTCATCGAGAGTCGATCCGATCGCGCAGACGACCCTCCCTGCATCGCTATCGGGAACATCAATTATTCCTCGCCATATTTGGCATCCGAGTAATTGATTGTCCTCGAGGAAACATCACACCAGATCATTCAGCGCGTCACGGTGGGAGACATATCTTGCTGCCCATTCCCGAGCTTCCAGTCCGCGAAAAAGCACATGCATCATTTGAACTTTAGCCGCCGAAGCAATCACCGACAGGCCGGATCTCGTAGCGTACCTTACCGAATTTCGGCATATGATCGACATGGTAGACGTCATCGTCTGTTTTCGTGGTGGGCGAATAGAAATCCATTACCCGTGCGTCTGCAAGAAACTGTAAATGCTGCTGTCACACCTGCTGAGTAGGCTGCATTCCTGGGGGATCTTTATGTACCGATCTCGTAGCAGTGGATGCCTCTTGGGAACAAGGACGAAAGCAATTTCTGCGAATCGACCGATATCCGTGCTCCAAGCCTAGGTACCGGAGAGGTCTTCGTGATTACCGGAGACCTCCGAAATTTCCATGTCCAAAATCTTCCACCAGAATCATGAAGAAGGAAGCACGCTCGAGGACCGTCATATATATCTCCATGAGCCTGATATTTTCAAATTTCTCCTGAGAATGAATTTTTGCTCGAGAGCCCATATGGCGATGTCGCGATTCTGTGCGGACGGGAAGTTGCCAACCTGCCATATGGTCTTCCAATGTTCTGCGTTCGCCGATTCTCCTCGCACGGGGAATTCTCGAGAGCTGAAAACAGAATCACTAGCCTTCAGGATATTGTATGCACCTTGACTCGTGACTGAACTTGAGGAGCTTGGAAAGTTCGACTTGCGACTTCAGCCCCGACTTACTAGGTAGTGGCGAACAGAAACTAGCCGAGCGAGGCGATCATTGCAGTGACGACGGATTGTGTGCTGAATGGTGATGAATTCGAAAGAGTTCTGACCCCGATCCCCGTTGTGATTTTCAACCAGAAGACTTCCCCAACCGCTCCGCTAGAAGATAGCGAAATGAGATCCCTTAACGCGTGGTGCCGCCTCGAGAGCGGAGATGCGGAAAGAGCATGGTGACATGCTCGATATCGACTGCAAGTCTAAATTAGGAATTCACATCGAAATTTGAATGCCTCTTCCATTGCGCACAGGGAATATAGGGAAGAGAACGTTTCAATCGAGATTTGGCGCGCCAACCGAGCAGACGACAACGATGAGTTCCAGGTGGTGGCGAACAACAACACGGACAGCGCGCTTCTCCGGGATCCACATGTGTTTTTCTTCTCCGATCTCCATCTCGACCGGATAACCCACAATGAGAGGAGAATCTGGAGAATCTTCACGGGGCTCATTTCATTCCGTCAATTGATTGAATTCAGAGTTTGTCTCCTGATTGTCAACTAAGGATTTCGCCATAAAATCGGATCGAGAAGGATCCGATTCTTGCCGTGTTATTATTGTGAAGTCGACCGGCTGGTCGCGCTGATATTCAAAAGGTGAGATCGAGAATACAGTGGCCTTCCGAGGGGAATACATTTTCGGCCCGAATTCACATCTCTCAATTCCAGTTATGTCACCGGGCGGAACGGCAAATAAGCGTGAACTCGGCAGTACCGCCAGATCTTAAAAAAATCGAGTATCTTTTCCTGATGCGTCTGAAGGGACCCGGAGGGACGGTCACTTTAGCGGGGAGAGTAAGGGACCCCGGGCCCAATAGGTAGTTCGTGAATCTGTCTATGCCAGTCTCATTACTTCTGATCCCTAATCTCTCCGCAGACATGGCAGGAAAGGTGGAGACTGCGCGAGAAGAAGGTACTGCGGTGGAGAACAGCCTCCTCATAAAAGGGAGTCTGGACATAGAGGCCACTTTGCGAGATTCCGATCTGCCCGAGAAAGATCGACTGAAGCTCAAAACTTTGCGAGACCAGCTCTTAGCCCAGGACATCGCGAAACATCGAAGAAAAAAACTGTGGAAGGAGGTCGATTGGGTAATCAATCGTAAGCGGCGGAATGATCAAAAAAAGGTTCGTCTCTACGTGGTTCAGGTCCGATGTATGACTAAGAGCTCCACGAGCGACGTCGATCCATCGAATCATGGAGGGGTACCATTATAGAGAGAACGTTGTGTTTTCCGGCTCCTCGGCCTGGTTCAGCATTAAGGAGGAATCGACTCCGTTTCCAGCAAGAGCGGAAGAAACGCCGCCTCGAGATCCGAACGGGGGTCCGAGAACCTTCACAGAAGAGGGCTAAAATCGTGAGGATGGCTGACAGCGACTGCAAAATCAAAGTTGCTCTAGACCTTAGTCTACACGATCTCATGACTGAAGCTGAAAGGACCAAAACCGGTAAACAGGTAGGCAGCATCCGAAATCATCACGAATCAGAACGCACCAAATTCTCACCGAATTCCTCGAAGAGATACGATATTGAATCTCCGTTGCCTCCGATAAGGTTCAAAGGTGCTATGCCATCAATCGACGGATGGAACAGCCGCTCCGATTGTATCTGACGGGCCTCCGCGACGCTGAAGCAATGACGAAAAACCTTTTCGGCTTCGAGAATTGGGACGTCTTCCGTGCCGAAGACGATCACGTGTCTCATTTTGGGAAGGAGAAAGTTGTTTACTTGACAGGGGATTCCGAAGTCGAACTCGAAGATTTTTCGGAAGACGAAGCTTACGTTATTGGCGCAATGGTCGATCACAATCGCCACAAGGGGCTAACTCTAAAAAGGGCTATTGAGGCTGGAATCCGTCACGCTCGACTGCCGTTGGATAAGTACGTTCCGCTAGAATGTCCATGAGAACTTATTCGGATCCCTCAGATGCCGGGGCAAGCCTCTGATATAAGTATTACCCATTTTCAGATACGTGGACATGAAATCAAGAAAAGTTTTGACGATCGACCACTGCTTCCAAATCGTGCTGAATAGAGCGAACGGACTCAGCTGGCAAGAGTCGATCATGCGGGCTATTCCGGCAAGGAAAGGGGCGCAGTTAAAGGATGACGACGGCAATGAGGGGGTCGATGAGAATGAGAAAGAGCACGACCATGCGGACGACAGCGATCCGGATCTTGGCAAAGAATCGGATGATGAATGTCACGGATCGTCTTGACAGACCAACAATCGATCCGTGGATTCCGTCAATAAAAAAGATCTCCCCGACATCTCCGGCGAAGGTCGCTCGCATGCACCCCGCGAGAGAGCTACCTTCCTGCTTCAGTGAAGCTACCAAGCGTCATCTGGGGCAGTCGTCAGTAGTCGCCATTGTTGAATGCCCTCGATCGCACCAGGAGCGCTCCTTCCTCGGAGGACGTCCCGAGACGAACTTGTTCCCTGAATAATCTGTGTGTCCTCCATCTTTCCCCGAACCCCTGCGATACTGCCGGGATTCTTTTCATGGTATCAGAAACCTGTTGAACCTGCAAGCTCATTAGCGGTTCTCCGGACGGAGCGCACCGAAGCCCGTTCACCACGACCTCGCGGTCCCGGCTCGTGCCAATGAGTAAGCGGTCCGCTCCCTTTGTTTTTTCGTCATATTGGCGGGACCTTTAAATCGTGACAACTCTCGGACTCCTCCCCATTTTTATAAATATTTACATCCGATTTACATCCGTAAACGTTCTGCGTTATGGTGGAGACGAATGTTTCGAATTTATCGGGGTTTGGCGAATTTCTTGACGAATACATTTGTTGAATCGACATGACGTGCGCCTCGTGTGCTTCATCTACGTGGCCGAAGTGCTGCTTGAGGAACTTCGGTGCCGATTGATAGTCTCCTGCTCTTAGCCTGAGGTGCGCGATAATTTTCGCGGCTCGTCCGGTGACCGGCCGTTTCTTCAACCTTTCCATCTTTTGGAGTTATACCTGCGGTTTGCTGTCTAAGTATAATTGGAAGAAGTCGAACCACTCTTCAAATTCCTTCTAATCGCCGTCAAACTTCGGGACTTTGTCTCCTTTGATCTTCATGGCCGGGGTCGGCGAGATTGCCACGCCAACCGCATCTCTAATCGGGGACGAGGTGCACGACTCACTTGCTTGTGGTTTCGAATTGTCTTCGATTAAGCGCCTCAAGCTCGCGACCATATTTCTGAACAAGGCGTCGTATTTTTCTCATCTCAGTATCGACTCCGGTATTTTTGCTTCTTTTGTTCCGAACTGCCGGGGCAACATAGGTTGATAGGGTTCCTGCGCGTTCCGCCACTGCTCACGGTACCTTTCGACAACTCATCCACGAGAAGTCTGAAAGCGCCTCGGGTCGCTCGGATCTACTCGATTTTTCGGTCTTCTCTTCCTGGGACTCTTTTATTCCTTGCCATCACCAACCTCCAATGAATCGAGCATTTTGGATGTTTCGAATTCGTCATCCAGCTTGGCCACTAAGGGCCTCTCTTTCTCCTCGTTTCTTCTGACACCAAAATTTCACGAATATCACTGATCCCTTGGTAACTCCCAAGCTCGCCGGAAAACACTCATAAGTCTGAGAACCTGCTCGAGGTGACCGTGATCCGCGCCGGGCCCACTGTGTCTGCCCTCAACCCGGCTCAGGATGGAGGAGCCTTCTTTTCGTGCGCTAATAGCTGAGCCCGCGGCTCTCACGGCCCCCTCGACAAGTACGCCTTTCATTGAATCCATATTCTGTCTCTGAATTTGACAGCTGACTCTCCGCCGTTCCTGGGACGGGTTCGGTGACAAGTGTGTCCTTCATCTTCCCCCGAACTCCTGCGATACTGGCGGCATTCTTGTCAATGAAGATGAGGACGACGTCTCTAGTGACGATGAAGGACACGCCGCGTAATGGAGACCGACTGGGGGATCGAGTGGTGAGGGTTCCATATGAAGAGGACTAAGTCCTGCGTTGCATTCTCGACGAATCGCCGAAGAGTACAGCTGCGGACCCGAATTTCCAGCTGATAAACTCTGCGGATCCTGGAGTTTCGCCGGAGACTTATCCGGGGGGGGGGGCAAATGGGAGTCAAAAGAAAAGATTGAATAATAACTCCCTTATTATGACGAAAGGGGGAGGGTCTTCCAACGGAGCAGAGAATACGAATATATGCGGAGTCTCGGAAGCGGTGGGAGGGAAGCGAAGAGCAAATTAATTTTGCTCGTCCTCGCGATGAACCGAGGCTGGACCCTCAAACTTTGTCGAAGATTGGTCGTGCGAGTCGTGAAAAGCCCATTGAGGAGATTCGCACGTCTGAGCTGTTTGAGGGCAGATATATCACGGTGTCCAAGCAGTTCCGAGATCGGCTCCAGGCGAGAGACATCCGAATCGGCCCCACAATTGAACTTCAGACTTCTGATGCTGATGAAGCATTTTTGTGCTTCCTCAAGCACTGCCATGAGATAGTTGAGTTGGGGGAACCAAATCGGAGAACAATATAGTAAGTTACTATACTGTTCTCCAATTTCAGTGTTTGCCAAATTCATATCCATGAATATGGATAAATTCATATCCATGAATATGGATAAAATCATATTCACGATATGAATTTCAGGGAATTTGAGAAATTATGGAATTATTCTGTTAGTTACTATAGTTATAGTATTCTATTATCTCTATCTTCTTCTTCTTCTTCTCTATGAATAAAAATCTCCGCAGGCTTTCTATATTACCTACTAGCCGTGAGGGCGCTTCGCGCCCCCACAGCCTTAAGAAAATCGAGTGTTGCTTTTCGTTGTCCAAGGGGAAGGGTATGCAAGCAATAGATGATGAGTACTGATGACATCATAGAAGCAGCTTTGCATTTTGAGAAAAATAACGATCAATGGAGAAACACGTAAATTTCACGGAAAACATGCGGTTAAGCACTTAGAAAAGTATAACTCGACCTCACTGGAGTTATTGCGCATCGATCGGGATTTGGGGTCCTTTCGTAGGTGGAGAGCGCTAAAAAGTGGTCCGGTGTCAGACAGACATAGCGCTTTTATTATATAGGGGGATAGGGGAATGCTCGCCAAAACTGCTTAACGGATTCTCATTAAACTTGACAACATTACCCAACCCATTGCGGGATAGTTTGTATACGGTCAAAACCCGGATTCTGATTCCCCGAATCCCCCAAGTTTGCCTTTTGCCTCAGTCGGCTCAACATCGTCGTCTTTTTTTGCGTTTCTCGAGCGGTACAATCCGCTCGGTGAGGGGTAGCGAGCAACTTTACACGACCGAACGGGTCGTAACGGGAGTTCGATCGCTCTCTACGTTTCATCGTCCCCGAGAGACTTGAGGGTCGGAATCAAGATCGAGGACATCGGGGGCCAACTCCATACGGTCAAAACGGGAGTCTTATCGCTCTCGCGTCATCGTGCCCGTCCAGGCTTGAGAACGGGTGCCTTCCTCGCGAATTTAGGCCAAGGATGCACAGCGTTTTGTCTCTTGAAACTTGAAACCCGCTCAGCTGGGACTGCGGAGCAGCAGACTTTAAGCCTGGCATACGGAGACAGAGTGATGCGCGATGAGGGCGAATGGCTCACGGCTCACGGACAATCGAATCACTCTGCGTTGCGTTCGATTTTGATTCCACGCACCTTTTTCCATCCTGACGAGTCTCGGTTGTCGATGTCGGTGATATGAGCATCATATGTTCATCCTGTCGTGAGTTGTAAATCGAAAATGAATTCTGGGGAGCATGCGGCGCAGGTTAGAAATCGTGATGATTCTGTGTGGGAAATTTGGGGGCGGAATTCCCGATCATACCGACCGACAAAGTTCGGCTTCAAACGGCTGCGATTTGCCGTGCTTCCCGTGCGTGTCAATGAGGCACAAGGTAAATCACTGCAGGCATGCGGCCTGATCTTCGAGAATCCATGCTCATATCGCACGGATGACGATTCGTAGAATGTTTACGTGTCGGTGAGTTGTCGAATTCGTTTGTTGTGTACGCACCGGCTACTGAGACAAAAGACTCCGTTTATCTTCGAATGATCAGTTGAAGATTTATATGAGCATCATCTGTTCATGTTTGGAAATAAATCATCGGGGTACATGATGTGAAGGTGGGTGAGTGTGATGCGTAATGTTTCGGTATGGGATTCTGATGATGTCCGAAGTTCGGACTTCAGAACAATGCTTTCGGCACAAACCGGATGGTGAGACCAAAGGTGTGTGTGTGGTGCCCGTTAGGCTTGAGAGTCAGGGAATCGGAAACGGGGGCCAAATTCTTACCGTCGAAACGGGAGTCGTGTCGCTCTCGCGGTTATCGTGCCCGTTCAGGCTCGAGAGTCAGGGAATCAAGATGGGATTTATATGAGCATCATATGTGTTCATGTTTGGAGATGAATCCTCGAGGCATATGATGCGCAGGTGGGTAAAACTGATTTTTCGATGTCAGATTCTGATAATGCGTGAACTTCGGACAAAATAGCAGAAAACGAGCTAAGGAAAGCATCGCAAATATAACGGCTAGAGTTGCGATTTGCGATATGAGAAGACATTTCTTTCCCGAAAAAAGGACGATGTCCGCGCGGACATCGGGACCGGGACGGAAAGCGGACATCAGAAGCGGATACTCTGTTCCATGTTTTTTGCCCTTTCCATGGAATTGATTCGACTTTCCAACCATTTTCCTAATAAGCAACAATCGACTGAACTTCGATGCCGTAAGGATCGCGCAGAGACAATTCGCTGAGTGAGAAGAAAATTTCCGACCCAGCCCCCGGCGCCTCTGGCTCACGCTTGTGCAGCCAAGACCTCGGTGCCCTCGGCGAAAAATTAGCGCAGAAATTCAATTTTTATCATCGAATCTAGCGGTATTTCCTCGAAAATTCCGGAAAGCGGACATTCCCGAGAAAACCCAAAAAAAGCGGTCAAAGCGGACAAAAGAGGACGTGTCCTCTCATATCGCAACTCTAATCATGGCACATGTCCGAGAAGGAAACGAGCATCGGAGATCGACGGAGACCATACCGTGAATCTCCTAATAGTGACCCAGTCTTCTATATCTTCAAATGCTACCGGTTGGGGCTTCTATTGGAGAGTGGCTCACAATATTTCAAGGATCGCGTCGGAAAAAGTTATCAGTGATTATGGAAGTCTGGGGGAATGTGTGTTCACGATATAGAGCTCGGCAATCAATGCACGTTAGCGACCGTCCCGGAAGGACTCCTTCAGGCGAAGATACTTGGGCGCCGATGTTCCGACGTCGGGAGCTTCGGGAGCTTCTTCTGGAGGGGGGCTTTCGTTCTCCCAGGAGCTCTGGCAGGGTGGCTTCTATTGGAGAGCTTCTACTATGAAAGAGGGCTGCCCTCGGTAAACTCACGGTAAAATGCTTTGAGCCGCAGCGAAGCGCGGCAGGGTACGCTAGTACTATTAGTAACTTTGGGATGACGATGCTCGGGTAAGGACGGACATAGAATTCTGCTTTTCTTATGATGGTACATGAGCACGGAAATCCAACTTTGGTGACATGAGTACTCCAAGATCTCGAGTGACACCGGCTGACGGGAGCCTTGCACCATCCAGATGATAGATGATATTCGTGACTGTTTTGCCCATGTTTCAAGACCACAGTTTTCTCGAGCAAGAGTTGCATGAAGTTATCCAGACACCATGATAAAAAGTTGTCTTCGGCACTTTCCCGACGATATTGCAGAAGCTCGCCATTATCCCGAGCTTCGCCCCTCGCAGAACAGAGAGGGTATTCCGTCGGACTTTCGGTCGATCGTTCAGCCGAGCCTCTTCCCAGCTGGTCATTATATCAGTCAGCAGTCAGTCACTCATTCGCTAGACCGCCTGCAGCTGGCCAAGTGACTCCTTCCCGTCCGGACAACTACGAGAATGGTCAACACGGTGAGTTTAGACCGAAGTCCCGACGTGAAAAGAGCGTGTGAGCGAAGTCTTTTGGAGTGCCGAGCGAGCTCGTTCCGCTGACGAAAGCTCAACATGATGGTCACTAGACAAGGACGACGCTTCCTGCGAATCAGCTTCCGAATACCATGGATGAGTGTTCCGATTTGCTTACAGGCGATGATGATTCTTATCGCTTTGAGCTCTTTTTGGGCGGCAACATGTGCAAGGAGACACGAGGGGGGTATTCTAGCGCTCCTCGGAGCCCAAGCAGCCCTCCCCATGTCTCTGCCATTGTTTGGGTCGATGTTGAACGGACGACCAGCCAGAGATTTTCACGGCTTTGCCTACGCCGATAGTGACAACGAGAGGATACAGTACTTCTGATCCGGATCTGTGCTCAAGGTACATACAGTTCAACCTCGACAATCGAGCGCCTCGCCTTACGGATGATTCGATTCACGAACTTTTCGTTCCAGATGAGAATCATCAGTGACGACGGCTCCGATGATGACACTTCCGCAGCTTGATTAATACCCTGGATAGTCTAATTTATAGCGGGCTCGTTTACCCGGGATTCATCGTACGACAAGAAGACCACGCGGGTCGATCAACGCCCTCTCCGGAGATCTTTCCCGGTGTTCCGATATTGGACACCTGACTTTCGAGTTTACGGCGTGCCCCTTTATTGGAGACAACGCGGCTGTTCGAGACTGCCCCTCGATCTGTGTCGACCCCCGAGAAGCTCCTCTAATATTGATGACTGCTCTTATGATCGAGACTGTTCTCTGCTCGAGAGCGCTTGTCAAATTGGCATGAGCTCACGAGAGGGACTATGCTCAAACATCGTAATCCTCGACTCACGATCGATCTCCCGGAACGGATTACGTTTGTGACTCGAGTTTGACTGTATACATAAACATGTAAATGGAGATATACGTAGTGTATCGAGGTCTCTCTGCGGGAGAGTACCCGCCGGCGAACATTCCGTCCAGGCTTAAGTGTTCGTTTGTTTACCATATAGATTGTAGATCAACCAGGATTGATCGATCAAGTGTAAGTGAGCAATAAATGCGGACAAATCGAGTGTGGAGAGGATGGTATCTAAAATTACGACATCGAAGGATATTATGCGATGCGAATCTATTAATACGCTCACGATTTGACGGGTCTCTTCAAATATTATACTATGCCAGTCCAATTCGATCCAACTCTACAGATAACACCCTATCCTCTATGCCGCTCGAGAAGCGAGTCGCTCAGACACGGATTGATCTAACCTGTTCCGAAACAAGGTCTTTTGAAGACCGATATCAATCGACGAGGGGTGAGGAAAGCCCGCACAAATTCCCATGGCTTTTGATCCGTGGCTTAGCGTCAAAGGGTCTCTCCAGTGGCCTTGCATGATTGCTCATCAAAAGTCGACCCAATCGTGAATACGGCCTTCCACTTAACGCTCCAGACGATATCAATGTGGCAAATGAGCCCCTTCACGCTCCCTGTGGCTTTCCTGGCTCTTTCTACCATCCGAGCCATCGATTGTCTCCGGAGTTCCGACACGGTGGATCATTTGCAGATATTAGCGCGTCATGGTGAAAGAAATCCGCTGTTTCCAGTGCCCGAGCTCGGAGAATTTCAGGTTTGTTTCTTGGAGTTTCATGTTTGTTCTTATTGAACATAGCGATCACGGTGCGCTAAGCTGACGAACCCCCGGATCGAAACCTCTCACGAGGAACCCTTGCAGATTGGGGGTCTTACGCCGAGAGGATACGAACTGGAAAAAGAGTTCGGAAAACGGCTCCTCCTGTGGTACCCGGAATTATTCGCTGCTTCGCCCACCATAACCTGTATATCGGCCAATCAATCGCGCTGTGTCGATTCTGCGGAGGCAATCGTTGAGGGACTGGGCTTCAAGGAGTACAACACCGAAGTTCTGTACATGCTCGACTTCGTTGACCTCGACGTCACGCTCATACGTCCGTTTTTGATGGAAGCGAATGAAATTTTACTGCCGGCGTGTGTGCAAGAAGCTGTGAGTGCCGTTATCGCACCAACTAAGGAGAACAGCCCACCCAGCCTTTCGGCCTTGGCTGAAGGGCTCTTCAAAGCCCAGATAGCGGACTCGATCGATACTCTGCTTCAATCCGGATACACGGGCACTGTCTTCGGTGTGAATCTTGGGAAGTGCATTCCTTCTGGGAAAAAACTCGTAAGCGAAAAAGCGTTCGCCAAACTAGCCGACATCTGCGCTTCGAGTCAGTGCACCGATGTAGTCCGGAAGGTCAAGGACGAACTCCAGGAATTTTCCGTACAGAATCTTCCACCAAGATCCGTGACGAGAAGTGTGAGCGTTTATGGACTCTCAGACAACCACGTGCTCGATCTCCTAAAATCCCTCCTGCCGCAGTTCAATCACACGCGACCGCAATTCGGAGGATACATCTTGCTCGAGAGCCGAGGTGACGATGTCACGATTTTGACCGGACAGGACGTTTTCAGTCTGCCAGAGGAACGAGCCGTCCTCAATGTGCATGAGGTTATTCAGCTCTTACGTCGACGAATACTTACCGCAGAGAGAACTTTCGCGAACGGAAATCAGAGTCGATAATAGTCGACCAAATGAGCCGGCCCGCACCCCGAGACGAGGAGAGAAACGATAACGGGAGCTTGAACATTCAATTCGCGACTAAAGATCCGACCCGCTTCGCAAGAGCGAACAGAAACTAGCTCAGTGAGGCGATGCTTGTTGTGACGGTGGATTACGCGATGTTTTATTCGCGGAACCACCGGGTTTTGGCGCCAATGAGGAAAGGTGATTCAACTTCTCATTGTGATATTCCAACAGAAAACTTTCTCAACCGCTCCGCTCGCAGCCGACGAAGCAAGATCTCGTACGCTGCCATCTGTAATCCATTTCAAGAAGCGTGCTTATGAAGTAAAAACGGAAATGTTTCATCATGTACAATGTTTCCGGCAAGTCTGATGAGAATGGAGCCTTTCTTATGCTCTATTGGGGAACTGGTCTCATTGTAAGATGGCTACGATCGGAAATAGCAGGGAGGATTCGGGCCGGTAGAAGGCCCGCTAAAAATTATCATGCGACCAGCTGGTTACTCCATCCGCTCAGCATCCGAGAACTTCAGCTTTGCAAAGACACGCGCCCTTAGTCCGAAAGAGACGAATGTAAAACAATTCGAACGATTATTTGACCTTCCGATGCGAATGCAAGATATTTTCGCACAACAACTATATGATTCAGGAACGGGGCCTAATACACAGCATAGAACTTCCAAACCTCAAAGATCCCCTCGCCGAATTGAGACACAGCGAGGAAACGAGAACCGCGCCTCGAGGCTGGTTTTTGATATGCGCTACCCGGATACGCGAGCTCGGGGACAACTATCATAATTGTACAGAGTTGACTCTTTGCGCGCACTCTGATGATTGTGATTGATGCTACCTCCACGCCTCAGGCACGCATAGCGAGTCTCCGATAGGACTTTCTGCCCTGTGTCGAACGCGCTCGAAATTCAGTCAGGATTCGTAGACAGAGCGCCAAGTGCCGGAAGAGGTCATGTGTCGGTCACTAGGACTCGATCGATGGATGTTGCAGGTTGCAGTTCTCGGCGAATCACGCGACCCCATGCCCGAATTTCCCCGAGAAGATTCGCAGCGATTGAACGCAGGAGTCTCGGAAGTAGTCGATCCGAGGTGGGGAGATTGTCAAGTCTCTCATGCGATGTTCCAGCCAAATCCTGAATAGCGCCTCCTGAAAATGGTGGAAGACGCAGAAGTCGCGTAGAATGTGGGAGAAGATCGAAAAGCGTCCGCATCAGTGCTTCTCAACCGGACTTCAGCAAAATCCCAGGGTTCCGCGAAACCTCGCTTAAGGGTTGCGCGGATGCTCAGTAGGGACCCGCAGAGCAAATGAGGCTGGGAACCTCTGGTCCACATGCAAATCCCGGTACCGGATGCGATGCGAGGCAATGCGGCGTCGGATCGGAGCGATCTCGGAAACGGCAACCCTTCCCAAAAATTCCATCTGAGGGTTTCGATTTTAGTATGCACATTGAGAATTGCTGATAGTTTCCTTTGTTGCTTAGAGCGAATGATCATAGCGCCTTCGGGTGGGCTGGGGCGGCAGCGCCCGGTCTCGGGCTGCACACCCGCAACATCCTGCCTTCCCCCTATCTGCTCAGAATAATATCGGTATGTCGTTCGATAGGGTTTCAGGTTTTCAGAATAGAAACCTGCCCTCCGAGCGACGCCGGCGTGAACCGCTCAACTCAGTTCCAGCTGATCCGATTCCGTCCAGGAGCGTCAGAATGCATCCTGCAAGAGGCCTCTCCTGAAGCAAAAATTTCGTCCAAGCCCGATAATTCCTGATCACCTCTGATGGATTGAATATTCCACGTTGAACAGACCAGCAAACGAGCAAGTTCCGGGCTCTATATATAGAGCTGTTTCGCTTACGTCAGGCCGGGGTTTCGTTCGCCGTGACCCTCAAAAAGCGGCATCGCTATCTTCCCAGATTACCGTTTTTCCTATGCGCCGGCGAGCGTAGCTTATCGCAGGAATCGCATTCCACGTGCGACAATCTCCGTGTGCGCAATACCCGGTCAGGCTCGTTTCCGTCGCGTTGGACCCGCGACCCCCTCTCGCAGAGACTCGCGCGCAGTGAACATCGAATCGGCCCCCGACTCAATCGCGACATCGCTTGATTGTACCTCCCATGCATGCACCTGCTCAGCTCGGAATTTTCCCTCTCGAACTAATCGCAAGGGGTAACGTCATGGATTTCTATGCGAACCGAATAGCCTCCGTAGCGTTTCTCTTGCTTCTTCCGCGATGTCACTTATTCAAGGCGTACCACGAGGCTCGTGCACACGCGACGTCGAGCGAATCCTGATTTGACGGAACTCGGAGGCGGAATTCAATCCGGACGCTTCCGTTACTTGTCCGAGTCAGCTGTTTATTCCCTCAGCTGTTCTGGAGAGGCCGCGGAACTCAGAGTCTCCTGTTCATATCCAAGTTACTCGCAATGAGACGAGCTGCATTTGATTTATTTGACATCCCTGACAGCTGAACGGAACTGCTACGCCTGTTCCTACTCCAGCTCGCGTCGCTTCGAGTATACATCTCTCCATGAAACTTTCGTCTTCCTGGGCCAGCTTCGTCGATATGCGCCGATATCGGAACATCGATTCACGCTGTCAAATAGAGCAAGACTTTCTGAACGCAACCGTCAGGAAGTCGGACACGAGATCCCTGCATGCATCCGATGCTAACATGGCTGCAATGAGACTCACCAGCCGGATGTTGTTACGCTTCCTTGTTCTGGAAAAGGACTTGTTTGAAACGTCGGGAGACAAGGCCGAAAATACAACGAGCCATAGGTCTGTGTGATCGGAGGATGCTCTCATCGATGAGAAGCTCCTCCTCTTCGCTCAGCTCCGGGAGCCAATGCTGGTATACATATTCTCTCAGAACCGGTGAATGTCACGTACGTCATCAAGCGTTGAGGAAGAGTATTTATCCGTGATATTTGACTTCGTTCAATCTCCTCGGACGTAAATGGAACTCTCTGCTACATCGGCAGGGCTTTCGCTGGAGCGCTCCTTGTGACATTTTTAGAGCGCGTGCGTTGAAGGATTAGCTGCGAGGCCCCTTTATCCGGGATAAGCAATTCGCCGGAACGCGTCTAGTATCAATGTGTCTCCACCCTCCGGTGTATTATGAACAAGTGATATCCTCCATTGGAGGCCAGGCGGAACCTTCAAATTTCCTGAATCAATCCGTGTGGCTAATGCTGTTTGCACACAATTCTCATGCCATGCCGAGGCAAGTCCCTAGACAAGTTCCTATTTTTAGATCGAGACATTTCAATACCGTCGAAGCTGTCGTCCCGCTATCGCTCGCTCCATGCAGCGAGCGTATGGATTTCCTGGCATAAAGCTGAGTTTTTCAGATATTCCGATTGTCCGGCAGGAATCAAAGTTTACCTCTTTCCCGAATGATGCTCCCATCCCATCGAGGGAGGATTATGAGATGATTAGGTCGGCATCGAATTCTCCGCGGACGCAATGGTAAGGAGTCTCAGAATTGATGAATCAATCAGAGGAGAGCCTCTGAGAGGTTATTGACGCTCATTTTGCGATGAAAAGAAGAGCCGGCGGGGCGGGTGGCGCTCTCCAACGACTTTACACGCTGCTTCATGGCTGACCACGTGGTAAAACCAAAAACCGCAGTCTCAGCGCGGTCGATCGAAGCAACAGGTAAGAAGAAAAAGCTCGCTAAGTGTTGCGGTTCCGTTCACGACCAAAACCTTGCGTCTCGCGATAGTGTCTCGGAGAACGTTCCTCATGTTCGCGTGTATGAATCATTTTGTCGCCGAGCTACACGAATGTCTCTCCCCCACTGTTGGAGCCGCATTGCGCCGCTGGGAATTTTCGTGAGCCCGTGCTGATTATGCCTTCGGATCCGAACTGTGTTCGTATTACTCGCCGTGCATTTTCAGAGGATCGCGGAGGATCTTACATTTGAATCCACAGACCCCAACGTGTTTCCTAATAGAAATCATACCGCGATGCTCAGCTGCATAGCGGGATCGCTTCCTCGGAATCAAATGACAGATTCACATTCTCCCGGAGATTGTCGCTGTCGGGATTCCTGTATCAGAATCGGACGGGGCCGAGTTTCCTCTAGATCCCGATTCACGCGGAGACTTCATACGCTCCAGGCGGTTGCACCGGGATCGATTATTATCTACCTCTCCCCAAGGGTTGGAAATTCTTCTTCCTGTCTTGTTCAGAGGCTCAGAAACAGATGACGGAGCGATAAGTATCGGGTGTCGACTTCGGAGCGTTGCCTTTAGGAATATCGATGAAGCGTGGCTCCGTCTCTGGTTGAGAATCATTGTAGACATCCACCTTCCCTCCCCCCCAGCAGGCTGAACATAACTGAACGGTAAATTCGTTCCCCGGGAAGTTCTCGGAAGACCAATCGATGCCCGGCTCCGACTCCATCGCGGGTTTCTCCAACTTGTTCACTAAGTGCCTCCCTGGCTCGGTACTCACAAAGACTTCTGGGACCAAGCGACGATCTATCCTCGAAGCACGCTCATCCATTCAGAGTGCTGATTTTCCGTCTTTAAAGAAGTTGCCGCTTCCGCTGACCGACGGAAGCGAGCTCGTCGTTGCGGTTCGGCGGCCAAAGAGAGTGAATGGCGAGAAGAAATATGATTCTCTAATGGGGAAACGACAGCATTTATGATGAAGACCCTTTAGTGACCGCGCCGCGAGCATCTTTGAGCGAGGCGTAACTTTCTCTAAGGAACCGGGTCAAAGCCCCGCAGGATCCTGAACTCTTTCTCAGCGGGGTCGACCCGTGTCGGGCGGAAATATTGCAACAAACTCCTCATGGGAATTCGCGGGAAGATCAGCGGAGCATTGCGACGAGCCGGAGACTTTTGCGGCTTGCTTGTTTACATTACACTGAGTACCTACTGCGTGGCTCGAGGCGATGACGAGAAGCGGCGCGATGAATTGAATTACAGAACTCCAAACAGAATGACATCATGATTTATGATCTCGGCAGCTCCGTCGATCTAGTTTCCGAGGCTTCCGGATTGCACGCTCGTTCCTACAAACTCGCACTCGTTGCCGGGCACGAACTCCGATAGAGATCACGATGATCATACGCGAAACAGAGAAGTCAAGCCGTCGACGGCGTCGCTCGCCACATATATCATCGGAGTTGTGCACGAAATTCTATTCTCATTCGGCGGTCATCGGAACTATCGACGGATGCTGAGGCTGGTCTGGCATCCGAAGCTTGACAAAGTATTCTGGTCGCGAGTCAAAGGCAGGCGATGCGCGACTTGCATGAGCCGGCAAAACACACCATGCGTTTTTGTGCCTACCGATCCGATTTCGATAAATGTCTCCGCCGAATGCTGGAGGAAATCGACCCGGGAATCGATGCG